CCATTTTAATCCGCGAATCCAAATATCTGGAGAAAGAAAAATTACGTTGATTTTATTATATCGTCTCTCGTATTTTCCGACAATGTCACTAGGAAAATGATACCAGCGATCGTGTCCTAGGGGAATGTTACATCGCTTGCCATTTAAAGGCACATAAGTAGTTTCCACCTGAGAATAACGTCTCCACCTTGTAAATCTCCACTTGTATATCGCGACCAGTCCCTCGAACGCTGTTAACCTCTCTGAAAACATTTTCTCCCGTCCACTTTTCGAAATGTGTTCATTGCTAGATGAAAATGGCACCTCGCGTAACTAAATTGCAATTTTTCCGACACGAACTTGCTCGTACATCGTAAACTCGATGCACGCGTATGTATATATTAAAAAATATATTAAAACCTGGAAACAATTTAAATTATCTTTCGAGAAGGTTAAATTAAATTTTATAAAATTTATTAAATTGATCCGTTGTTTGTTTTATTTCCCAAAAAATAGGAATTATTTAAACATTTTCGTAATCGAAATTTTTAAGTGTTAATTAATTTTCCCTTTGATATTTCTCACCTGTATGGGCTGATAATTTGTTAATCTACCTCGACAGCTTAAAATTATAAAAATTTTTATAAATATTCCTCCACGTCTTTACAACCTGATTTTCAATATCGAATTCTTCCCTGCAGAAAAAGTTTGACAAAGATCTAAACGAATTCTCAATGCAGCCAAAAAAGGCCGTGAAAGCTGTCTCCACCATGGATTTCTCCTTTGCTCCACCAGGTGCAATGCCTTTGATGCACTCTGTTACGGAACCAGCAGCAATTTTTGCTCCTATCTCGTACGGACGCATTACACCTGTTAAATTCATAGAAATCTGCGAAAACGGAATTTTAAATATTCCAAAGTATAATCTACTTCTATCGCACGCTATAGTGCTCGCTTTAGCGTCCCCATTCGGGACGCTTATGTGGGCAGGTGCCTTCCTGGGATCCGGAACTGAGAAGTATGTTAATGATAGATAGCTGGCGTAGGTTGGGATCCGAACAAACTTCAGACACATTTAACTTTAATATTTCCATATTAAAATATATTATTTAAAATATAAAAAGAAAATACAGACAAAACTGAAACGTAACATAGGTGCGACCAATTGTAACGCGAGTGTCAATGAAAAGTCCATTAATTGGTGAAAATAAAAATTCCTAAAATTCAACGTTTTATCAGATAAAGACCTACATGATGTATAGTTGACGTAGGTTGGGATTCGAACAAACTTCGGACACATTTAACTTTAATAGTTACATATTAAAATATATTATTTAAAATGTAAAAGAAAACATAGGTGCGGCCAATCGTAACGCGAGTATCAAGGAGAAAGTCTGTTCATTGGTGAAAATAAAAATTCCTAAAATTCAACGTTTCGTTAGATAAAGACCTACATAATGGATAGTTGACGTAGGTTGGGATCCGAACAAACTTCAGACACGTTTAACTTTAATATCTACATATTAACCCTTTGCGCTCGACGACTTTTTGGATAAAGAGGGATAAGAGTTGAAAAATTTTCTGCTATAAGGCTGATGATATTTCTTGGGTACTAAATAAGAAATCGTATAATAATTAACACGTAGAATTATTTAAGTTCGATACCTCGCACGCTATTACATTATTTTAAATTTGATATATTAATTAATATCGAGCTTCCAAATTTTATAAAATGGTGAATGAAATTCACCTCTCGAGTACTAAGGGTTAAAATATAATATATTATTTAAAATATAAAAAGAAACGTAGACAAAACTGAAACGTAACATAGGTGTGACCAATTGTAACGCGAGTGTCAATGAGAAGTCCATTAATTGGTGAAAATAAAAATTCCTAAAATTCAACGTTTCGTCAGATAAAGACCTACGACTATCGGTGAAACCGTGCTTTTTAGTATAATAATTCCGAGTATAGAAATCGCGTATGACGTGTATAATCAGCGGAACGAAGTCATGTGTACGTTTTGTTTGATTGCAGCCGGTGGGTTTCGTGACTTTTCACACGAGGGCCGGTGCAGAGGCGGCGAAACAGGATCTTCAGGTAATACCCCGTTTCTCGCAGGTATCGGGAGAGAAAAAGACGGGCTGCTCGATAAACGCGAGAGCTCCCGTGGGCACCCTTACAATTATAGTCATCTCTATATATACACACACATACGTACAAACAATTTTCCGCAGTCTTCTTTCCCTCCCTATATATATTCTGCGTTTATTTCTTTCCTCTCGTATTTTTCCTATTTTTTTTTTCTTTTTTTCTTTTCCTTTTTTTTCTTTCTTCAACGTGTTATATACATATGAAAATACACACCCTTGCCTTAGATTCCAGCTGGCACGGGTTAATGCTACGTAGCTCTTTACCTTTATCAATTACCGTACACACGTACACACGTACTCTCTTCCTCTATTTTTCTGTTATAAATATATATATATATACACACATAAAGTCTCTTCCTGTCTCTGTAATCTACAGTTAGCTTCCTCCTGTCTTCTCTGTTTTATTTTTTATTTTTTTAACTGGGACAAATCCGTAGTATGAATTACTTATTTACCTTGTTTCGTCGTATTTCTACGTATACCAAGATCGTACTGTAATAACGCTGATTGCACCGTGTGACATTATCATATCGAGATATATATGGTGTTGTTTTGCTTTTTAATAAGCGTGACACTACCCCCTTCTACCCTTTCGAATCACCCCCTTTCTATCTCTCTTTCTCTTTCCCACTGTTACACCCCGTCGAGTTGCAGAGTTTAATATGAAAGATCGTATACGTATTTGTATAGGAGTTTACCGTTTTAACCTTTGGATTTGGATCTTGCGCAAATACACCGAGGTAGATGTAACAGTATGGTAGATGGTATACGTGTGTGGTGTATGTATATGCAGCCGTCTGAAATCCAGGACCACTGATACTAGCGGTTCCCTTATACTATCTTCCATTTTTGCAAACAGGGTCCCATTATCATTTTACACGAATTCCTCGAATCACTGTTAATCGTTTAAATTAATTTAATTTATTTAAGATACTTTCAAGCAAAATTTATTAGAAATTCGGAATTATTTCGGTGGATATTTAATTTTTACTTTGGAAAATCCTCCGCTATAAATCAGTGGCTCTTAACCCCTTGACTGCGGCAGATTTTGATACGCAGCAGCCGTACTATACAGCAAGCAAGCGCCGAGCGCGTATAGGTGCCCTGCGTGTCATAAACGCAAAATTTCTAAGCGCCTATAAGCATCCTATGTGTCACAAATGCAAAATTTCTAAGCGTCTATAGGCGCTCTTCGTGTCACAAACGAAAAATTTCTAAGAGCCCATAGGCGTCCTCCGTGTCACAAACGCAAAATTTCTAAGAGCCCATAGACGTCCTCCGTGTCACAAATGCAAAATTTCTAAGAGCCCATAGGCGTCCTCCGTGTCACAAACGCAAAATTTCTAAGCGCCCATAGGCGCCCATAGTGTCCAAGGGGTTAATTAGAAACGCGCGAGATCTCGAAATTTTTGAGTCCTCCCTGGCATGCCTCGTCGTGTTGTCAAAAATCGCGAGAAATTCTCGGGAATTTAAAAAATCACGGGACCTCGTTTGCCGCGAACTGTGACACGAAATCTGCTGTACGGTTTATCGATCTTCGTAATTTTCCTTCGCGTGATTAGTCGCCATTTGCTTTCTGTGACATCGGAGCAAATGGCGACCGGGAGTCTATCGAATGCGGAGGATTAAGCACGAGAATAATATCGTAATTTTCTTTCGAACAAACAATGAACCGATAATTGCTGCCGATTTAACTTGTCACTGGAGTCGCGTGTGTCGTGCGTTGAAGTATACAGAAGCTCGGAAATCTCGCGGAGCAAGTGATCCCAGGCTTTGAGACGGAAGCGTATGTATATACCCGATATATACTCGCATACGTATACGTACGATCCTTATTTTTTTTCATCACACCACCGCAACTGACCTCACGCAACTTGCAATGTCTTCGTAACCCTGTGTAACCGGTTACGTACGAGAGAGACTCGAAACATCCTCTTGTCGGATGGACACGTTCGCTGAGAACAGCCTGAAACAGACTAACGAACGACCCACTTCTAATCGATAGCCACTGTGCCAACAGGGACACGGATACACAGACACGTATAAACACGTACACGTACACACACGATCTTGCGCTAATTTTCCTGTAATTCAGTCACCTGCAGCCCTTTTCATCCCTCTTCGTCACTCTCTCCCCGTGTACGAAATTTCTGCCAGACTTTCGTTGCCAGTCGCTAATCCGATCGCGAAAATAGTAGCAAATGGAATAGCATGCGGAACGAAATTGAAAGACAAAGTGAAAATTCACGGGATCTTTAGTTTAGAGTCATTGGGTGACTGGTGAGCTTCACAGTTTGACCTAGGGTACTTAACAGTAGAACGATCCATCTATTTAGTCGCTATATTTAAAATATTATACATAAATGATAAAGATAGATGACTGTATATGATTGTGATTCACCTGTCTGGGTGAAAATCGATATTAATTTTGTCAAAAATTGGAGTTCTCGTGTTTGCCCTTCCATAATATTTTTACTATGCTATGAAATTTAAAAAAAAAATTTAATTTCGAGAAAAAGGGATCACAAATTAATAGCATCTTTAATTTCGTTTACACGCTTGTTTTACTGATTTTTCGCGCGAATTAGGTGCATGACCCTACTTCGCGTTCCATCTAATAAAATCTACGAACAGTCTTTAAAATTTTGAATACGGGATAAAATAAAATAGAAATATTTGCCTGAAATTGTCACGATCACCTTTCACCCAACGAGTTCCAAGGAGCCAGAATTTTATAAGCAAAATTTCTCTGCAAAATGGAGGATCTTGCATTGGAAGAACGGTATCAAAAGGCAGAACACGCGTTGAATCACGAGTATCGGAGGATTGCGAAAGCCCGAAGCTATTTCTCCGCGAGTGGGGCTAATTACGAGCAAAAGGCAGCCACCATGGATAAGACTGGCGACGAAAGCACAGGGTCCCGTGCAAAGCGTGATCCACGCCCGAATCTAGATCTCTACATCTAACTTTCTCTCTGTCTTTCTGTTCTCCTCTCACCAAATCCAAGCATCCACGTGTGCTCCCGGTTTACTAATTTAGGGAATCTATTTGCAGCAGGGGGTTAGATTCGATCCTGATATGCCACAAACCATACGTTTGGAATTTGCAAAAAGTAACACAAAGGTTAGCAAACCCAAGCAACCAGCCGCTGCAGCAGCCACCTCGCACCCTGCTCTGATGCACCCTCTAACTGGACGTAAGTATGCACCGCCACTCGTTCACTCGCTGGATACGTCTCACTACTATTCTCACCCACTGCACCCAACTACAACGTATCTTCCTCCCTTTCTCTATCTACCTCTACTACCACCACCTGACTATCTCGACTACTTTCTCTGTCTCTTGGAGTGTATCTTCCTTCGTTCTTTCTTCTTTTTTTTTATTTTTTTTTTTTTATTTTTCTCTGACGTCCCTGTCCACCACACGGTCCTCGAATCTTGGCCCTGTCTGACATCGTCGCAGAGAAATCGGACAGCGTGGGAACTGTACCACCGTATGTGGAAATCTTTAAACGTGCATCGCTTAAAGGATAGCTTAAATTATTTTTCTTTTCCTTCTTTTTAATTTTGTCGAATATTCATGGGATATTCTTTCAGTTCTTCGAATTTGATTAGCTTAAATATTTAGGTAGCTTAAATTATTTTTTCTTCTTTTTAATTTTGCGAATATTCCTGGAATACTTCGTTGCTTTTGTTTAGATATTTTTGATTCAGATATAAATTACGAAATTTTCCGCAGGTGATTAGTAAGCGTGGGAATTTTTGAATTAGATTTAATCGATAATAAGAAGTAAAGATTTCACGGATTAACGGATTAAAATCGGAGGAATACGCGGATTCGGTTGAAATCCGTGGGTGGGGTTTTTTCGCTCGTTACGCTGTCGCGTTTAGAGTCGGTATTTTAACGAAGTCTGAGCAAGACATTAATATCAATTGAATTTCATACACCACCGCGATAGAATATTCCATCGCGGCAAATTAATTATCGCACTTCCACCGCTGTCCGATCAGTTTGATAAGCGTAGGCATGCGATTTCCTCGCGTTCTTTTGGGTTACCTTGTGGAACAATAGACGTCGATATCAACTCTATCGATCATCCATACAATCAACATTCTCGATACAGTCGAACGTAACTGAAATTCGAATAAATAAAACCATCCTACCTCGAAGTGAAACGAGGGAACAAAGGAACGATCGAAAAATCGTTGCGTTCGTCTGCATCCTTGCAGGTGTCTCGATTCTCATCTTAAATTATCAAAAAGAGGGATACAAATTACCAAAGTTTACGCTAAATCGAGAGAATAAGCTTTCAGCCATTAACCCCTTACGCTATATAAAAATGAACTTCGCATTAGGCTGAAATTATGTTTAACGTATTATTAACGAGATTTGTGTGACTTCGTATGACGACTTCGTAAAATAGGTATACAGTGGCTAATTAAAATCGAGTAATTTCGCAATGCACCGCTTCTCGTAGTTAAACCATAGTGCAAGGGGTTAAAAGGAAAAGGAACAAGATAAAAATAAATAAATAAATTGATAAAAATAAAAGATGGTTCGCTTTGCTTCGTTTCGAGTTTAAGAAATAAAACAGAAGAGCAGAGGGAAGATAGCATGGGAAAAATGAATAAAAATAGAAAAGGGAGTTTGCTTTCAAGAAAATTCGATTCGAATGCCGTATCGAAGTCGAAGCTGTGGAATAAAAGTTAAGGGTAGGTCGCGGACGGTAAATCGGGGATGCGTCTAGTGGAATGCGATGCGAATCGATCTACGGGGATAAAAGGAACGGGGTGAAGCTCGAGTGGATTCTCTTCCGAATGTTTGTTTTACGTCGCCAATAAATATGCATCCGTGTCGGTACGGCGAAGAGACTTCTTGAAATAAGGATAAGCCACGTGGCCGGGACAGCGAATTTTATTGGCCGACGTTCGATTTCAACCATATCGATTATCGATAGCTACGACCACGTAAATATATAAAAACGTCAATTTTCCAACGATATCGACGCGATACCCCAAGTGGAAAAATTGTCTACAGGTTTTATGAAACGCGTCGTAGCCATAAAATGCCGCTTGCTCGCGTTTACGGCACTTTCAGCAAACGTAACGCTCGTCGCCGACCATTTCTTTTTCTCCCAATTCCGCGAGTCTAATTGCATAAATCGTTTGTCCGGGTATTTATTTCAAACGGCACGGAAAACTGGAAAATTACGAATTTAAGAAATTTTTCAAGATCGAATGGGCTTCGTTTTACGATCTTGAACGGTGGTAAAAGATGAGTGCTATGATAAATATTCATCCATAACAACAAACACCTAGTACGAAAAGTACACCTAGTACAAACCTTGAACAGGGTTGACATAAAATAAGCTATAATTTGAAATAAAGAAAGCGATTGTTTATTTATTTATATATAATTAACGGGTAGCTCATTAGTGTACATTTGTAGATTTAATAAATTCTATATGGAGGATATTATATATAAAAAATGTTATATCTGTTGCATGGCAGGTTTTCCACCCTGTGTACACACGTAGCTTTACGAAAGTCACTGGGGGTTCGAAGGCCAGGTCGGTTGGAAAAACCCCGGGCGATGCGTCAGGCCTTTAGCACGACTAAATTCGGTCATATTGGGGGAGGCATTAGAAAACGTGTGCATGTTGGGAAAGATTTATAAAGAAGGTTAAGAGTCGTCGAAATTATTTATAATTAACTTCTTAGACATGGAGTTATTTAACTCTTTGTGGCACAGGATTTCAGATAATAAAATAGACCCATGTTGCATAGAAATTTTATTGCGTTTTAAATGAAACAAAATTTCTATAGAATTAATTTTTATAAAAATTTATTTACTTTTACGATTTTTCACGTAAAACCGGGAAAAAAAGATTGATGAACCTGTATTGGCATGCTGAATGTTGCCAACACAAGCGAATACATTTGTAACATTTCTTGAAGGTATTAAATAAGACGAAATATAAACCTATGCACATGCATGCAGCTATTGCAATATTTCGAGGTGGGACTAAAAATGTCCCACCATGCACTACGGTGCATCAAAAAGGTGGGATACTGTTAATCCTAGTGTGCCCCAAAAGGTTAACCCTTTGCACTCGAGAGGCTCCCTTCAGTCGCCATTTAATAAAATTTCGAAGATCGATATTAATTAACATATCAAATTTAAGGTAATATAACGGTATGCAAGGTATAGAAATCAAATAGTTTTACATGTTAATTATTATACAATTTCTTATTTACCGGTGGAAAAAATATCGTGAACTTTATAGCAGAAAATCTTTGAACTCCGACTCATCTTTAGCCAAAGAATCGTCGAGTGCAAAGGGTTAAAAGGAGGTGTTGAATCGATTTGGTATGAATTAAAAATTAAAGGGAATAATAATTCCAACTTCGGTTTATTTTCGGCCAAAAACATTTTATCAGGTGTAGCAGCAAGTACAGTCGAATCGAGAAACGTACGAGGAGCAGTGCTTCCTGTGGTAGATTATAACGAGCGTAATTAAGCGTAATTAAAGAGCGTAATTAAAAGATAACGATAGATGTAGCGCATGATGTTGAAATTGCTGACTCTCGTTACTCTTGCAATGTAAAATGTAAATTCGTGATCCTCGCGTTTTTATTCGACGATGGTTCACCGTGTTCCCGATAAAACGAGCAGTGAAATTTTCGGTAATCTCGTGAGAAGCCCTGCATACGTGCTGTTCAACTATGGAACTACCCTAAAGAAACCCCTCCTCGGCACAGCGAGGGGTGGTCTCGAATTCGTGATCGATACCAACTTACGTTTCCTAATTAATGCAGTTAACCATCCATTTTCTCGGTTACTCCGTAGCCTCGAATCCCACTACGATTAATTACACGGTCACTGAAAAATTAAAGAATCACGCGTGGATTGATTAGATAATTAAATTAAGTAAGTCAGCAATTGGGAAATTCTAGTAATATTTTATAGACACACGCGACATCTGGAGGTTAGTTAGCGAATATAGTTGAAGTTTTAAATACGAGGATTAACTAGAATGGCTATTAACGCTAGATTTACAGAACCCGTCAATTTGACGAAAGGGTTGCTCCAATTATACAATGATAACAAATTTAGTTAACGTACATTGAGACTGTTAATATAATATATAATTATTTTTAAATTAAACTAATCGTTAAAAAAGGAAGACACGTGGTTTCCTTTACCTGACAATTTGACAGGTGTCCTTAGAAATAGGTATACAGATAGCGTCCGTAAAGCTAGTGTTAATCTAGTAACTTCGCAAGTAGCGCGTGTCTAAACCCGCAAATAGTTGCACAATAGCATTCCAAAACCTAAGATCTCATTCAAACATCCAACCAAATGGAACTATTATTATTCCTCCACTTCCCTAATATTAGAATCTGAACTCATTCCAGCAGATCTGAACGAGCTGCTTAAAACACCCAAGAATCCTTTGATAGCCCTAGACCGATTAAAAAATCACCATGATTTTGTTAATCGATGTCTGCTTCTCAACAATAAAGAAAATTCAACTACAATTTAATTAAAAAGAAGAAGAAAAGGAAAATGTAGAGATCTCTCTAATATCAGAATTTAAAGACACGTCCATAAATTCAGTAAATTCCTATAATTTACTTAAAATATAACTCCCCAGAATCCCTCGATAATTAACCCTTTGGACTCAAAGATTTCTTCGTTGTGAAGGTGCAATTCGAAGCTCTTTTTAGATTTTTATAAGCTCATTCATACTCTTTATGCTAAAATTAAAAAAAGAAAATCATGAATTTGCGTGAGAAACGAACGAATAGAATAATTTTATTTCGATATTCTTAATATAATTATCATCATCCATTGTTTGAGAGTCACCTCTCGAGTGCAAAGGGTTAATATACCAAAATCATCCAAAAATACTGTTATTTTATTAATTAAATCCTTCTTCCCCATCGTGAAAAATTTTTCAAATCAAAAGTCCTCGATCTTCAAATACCACCTAACTAGAAAACGAAAGAGAAAGGTGAAAATGATCAAGAGATCACTATTACTCCGTCTTCATAATATTCGATAAATCTCGAAATCTCAACGATCCACCTAGGATACTAAAAAGAATCCAAAAATACTGTTATTTTGCTACTTCTATTTTATTGTGAAAAAGGAAGAAATTTTCAAATAAAAAATACCGATCCTTCATCTGCA